TCTTGTATCGTTAAAATCACCCCTTTAAATTCTATTAATGTTCCTACTACTCCTCCTTTGTCTACTGTTATACCACCTCAGTACATGTCTCTTAAGTCTGTCTTCGATAAAAGGGAGGCTGACAAGTTACCGCCTCACAGACCCTACGATTGTGCTATTGATTTGTTACCTGGTGCTATTCCTCCCAAAGGGAGGGTGTATCCTTTGTCTCCTCAAGAAAACCTTGTCATGGAGGAATATATCAAAGAATCTTTACAAAAGGGGTTTATAAGGAGATCCTCTTATCCGGCAGGGGCTGGTTTCTTCTTTGTGTCGAAGAAGGAGGGCGATTTAAGACCCTGTATCGACTATAGGGGCCTTAATAAAATCACCATAAAAAATTACCCTATACCTTTAATCACTGAATTATTTGGCAGGCTTAAACAAGCTACTGTGTTTACTAAACTGGACCTTAGGGGTGCATACAATCTCATATGTATAAAAAAGGACCATGAATGGAAAACTGCATTCAATACTAGGAGTGGTCATTACTAATACACTGTGATGCCCTTTGGTCTTCATAACGCCCCAGCAGTGTTTCAAGAGTTTATTAATGATGTCTTACGAGAGTACATTCACACATTTGTAATAGTGTACTTGGACGACATATTAATATATTCACCCGATTTGCATACTCATCACATGCATGTTAAATTAGTTTTGAAAACCCTTCTTGTTAATGGTCTCTATTGTAAACTCGAAAAATGTTTGTTTGATCAATCCGAAGTCCAGTTCTTGGGGTATCTAATTTCTGCTAAGGGTTTTCGTATGGATCCTAAGAAGCTTTCTGCTGTCATGGAATGGCCTCTACCTCAGGGTTTGAAAACAATTCAGCATTTTCTTGTTTTTTCTAACTATTATAGACGCTTTAGTAAAGGTTTTTCTTCCATTGTAGCGCCTATAACCCAAATGACTAAAAAGGATGGTAATACTCACGTCTAGATCCCGGAAGCGCTTGAGGCTTTTGAATTTCTTAAGACTGTGTTCGCTTCTGCTCCTATTTTACAGCATCCTGTCCCTTCTTTGCCTTTTATTCTTGAAGTTGATGCTTCAAATATTGGGGTGGGTGCTGTCTTGTCTCAAAGGGAATCACCAGAGAAGCCATTACATCCCTGTGGTTTCTTTTCCAAGCAGATGTCCAAGGCCGAAAAGAATTATGACATAGGCAATCGAGAACTCCTTGCAATTGTTGTAGCACCATCCTTATACTTACTGATCATAAAAACCTTTCCTACCTTAGTGAAGCCAAGAGATTGTCTTCTAGGCAGGCCAGGTGGTCACTGTTTTTATCTCGCTTCAATTATATCATCACCTACAGACCAGGTGATCGTAACACTAAAGCTGACGCTCTGTCCAGACAATTCGAAACTAACGACAAGCAAGAGTTTGATGATACCCCTGTCATTCCCACGGACAGAATAATAGCTACTACTGTTCTCTCTATTTCTTCATCCCTCTTGCAAGTCATACAGGCTAAACAAAACAAGGCACCTAGAGAGAGACCTGCTGATAAATTGTTCGTCGATGTTCCTGAAAGACAGGAAATTATGTCACTATAGCATGACACCAAAACTTCTGGGCATCCTGGTATCACTAAAACCTTAACAGCAGTTTCTAGATATTTCTGGTGGGCTTCCTTACGCAAGACGTCACCGATTACGTACGGGCATTTGTTACTTGTGCCAGTATGAAGTCTTCTCATAGAGTTCCTTGTGGGTTGTTGCACCCGTTACCCATACCCGAGAGGCCTTGGTCCAATCTGTCATCCTGATGATAGTGGATAGATTTTCTAAGATGGCTCATTTTGTGTCTCTTGTCAAATTGCTCTCATCCAGGGAACTTGCTTCTATCTTCGCCAGGGAGGTGTTTTGGTTACACAGTATACCAGAGTCTATAGTGTCCAATAGGGGTAGCCAGTTTATTTCCAGGTTCTGGAAAGCCTTTTGTTCGGAGATGGGCATTTCTCTCTCGTTTT